TGGAAGAGTCGTCACCTTCAAACTTACCAGGATCTTAGCTAGCTCAGCTCAACTGAAAAGTTGGAGAAAAATTGCTGCATGAAAATTGCTGCATGAAATGCAGCAGCAACAGGGAAGCTTGAAGTAGGGTGGGTACTTGCTGGACTTCCAGACACCTTTGACATTTGGCTAGAAGAATTTGATGGTGGATATAGACCTGGTATGGAATACTGGTAACAACACTCATTGGTGGAGGTGGAGAGCATGGGTATAAGCCCCCTCTAATTGCTGGCTGTCTCTTTGTATTTGGAAATCTGGGTAGCAAAGAGTCTTAGTGTTCATCAAGTTTGGTTTCTGGCTCTCTTTCCATAACTGTGTGTTCCATTCTTTGCAATCACTCTTGTGGGTAGTTTTGATACCTGCTGAAAACGGGAAGTTCTCTGGGAAGGCCCCCATTCACTTACCTTCGTCAAATTGCTGCAAACTCTTTAAAAAGGATGCAATGATTAAGCAGAACTATATCTAGGTTTGCAGGCTGTGGAGGTTTAGGAGGAGGAAGCTCAAACTGTGGGATAATTAGTTTCTGGGCTGTCAGACAATGAGTTGAGAAAGGAGAAGTAGACCCGGTTTATTTGAGATCTTCAGAGATATGAATTTGAATTCTGCAACATAGAGAAGAGATTGAATAACAACAATGTACCTTTTTAATGTCTCGCGTGGATTAATTTAAACCCAGAGTTAAACCAGTTTTGAATGCTTGAATACAGGTGTAAATCTAATCTGAGGGAGAGATAATCTTAAAAAATACACTTTGAGACTGGCTACCAAGATGGTATTTCTGTTCTTTATAAAAGTATTGTCTAAATTCTGTTGACACTATACCGAGTGTCTCCAATTCCAATTGGCAATTTGGGAATGATGGACTGGTATTAAACAGGACCAAGTCTATTTAAAAAGATCTATTTCCACCTTTCTTCTATTCAGGGCTGGATTTGAAGTAGACTCTTTGGAAGCTTATCCTCAGCTAATTTTGAATACCAGGGTTCTATCCAGGCGCTTATGAAATGAAGAAAAATGTCTCTGGGCATAGACAGAAGTCAGGTTTTATTATCGTTCTTATTATTTAATGGAGTGTCAGACCATCATTTAGAATGAATTACTCTCCAAAATAAGATTTTGATAAGTTTTCCAGATGGGTGTGTAGCTCTCCTTTGACAAATGTACTATTTGCAGAGCCCAGAGGTGTTACAAACTTGTTCCTCTCTTGCAGAGATGCTGAAGAAAGAAAGGAAAGTCAATTCTTACATTATTAGAACTGGTTTTTCATATTTTATTTGTGAGACGTTATTGTTTATCAATTGCTTTGAGCTTGTGTAAAAGCAGTCTATAAATATTTTAATTATAAGCACAAAAATAAAATCCCTTGGAGTTTTTTCATGTGTGCCTCTCTTGTCTTTCCTTGAATTCAATGTATCTATACAGTGCACTTTTATTTTACACCTGTTCTTTGTTATCATTTAGGGACATTTTCCTATGCATTTGGTTAGTGAAATTATCAGATGCTTGGTTCATGTGGCTGAAACATTGGGTTGTTAATTATGCATTGGAGAAAGAGGGAAATCATCTGTTCTGTCAGCTGATTTTTTTTTTTTTTACTACTGCCCATGACTGATTCCTTTGAAATGGATTTCTGCTGGGTGGTAAGTTGCCTGATTGCTATGTAAAGAAAAACTGGTCATGCTGCTTAAAGCCGTTTGCTGGATCAGAGAAAAGGACTATTGATTCCACCACACTGGTATCTATTGGGCCAGTCAGAATCTTGCACAGAAACTCCAAAGCAGATTAGCACTTTCAAACAAGAATTTACCACCATCCATAATTTAGAACTGACTTCCTTAACAGCCAGATGTTCTTTTTTGATATCTTGGTTAATTGCCACTGATAACCTCATCCTCCCATTGGTCTTTTGATAATTTGTCTTCATAAAACTAGAAAACCAGATTAATCAAGATTCAGTCTCCAAACTTCCAGATTCCATGATTTGGAGCACCAAGCTATCATCTAGTGGTCTGTCCAGATTTTTGTAAATCAGATCTAATGGCCACTATTTCTAGTAGAAATGAGATCTACATACAGTTTATGTATAATGTAGAATAAATATCTGTCCAGCTGGAAATTGTCAGTCACTTTTTATAGTTTATAGGTTTCTAACATGCTATCTGTCCATCTACAATTAAGAGAAGAATTGTACACATTAGATCAGTTTGCACAACATTCTAGATGATCAAAAATAGGAAAGATAATTTGTTATTAAATATGGTATGGGGCAACTCTTCATTACTTTAGTGTGTTATATAAACCAATCCACCAAATTAAAACATAAAATGACTCATGGGTTGAAATGTATCATGCTATATTGTCAATAGTAATTGTGTTTTATTAACTTGGGTTAGGTATATTATCTGGCTAATTAACTCAAAGGGTCTTAGTTCCATATAAATATGTCTAGACACTAGACTGTCAGTTTTGGGGTGATTCACATTACATGCTTAACCCAACCAGTCAAAACTAGAAACCGTGGGTGTCCAACATTTTGGCTTGCATGGGCCATATTGAATGAAGAGAAATTGTCTTGGGTTGCATATAAATATATATAATATAATATAAGTTCAGCGCCCTGAGTCCTTCGGAAGTAGGGCGGTATAGAAAAATAAATAAATAAATAAATAAATAAATAAATAAATAAATAAATAAATAAATAAATAAATAAATTGTACAAACCCAGCCTCCTTGGCTAGTTTATAGCCAGAATTAATTAAGTTAAGCATATTGTGAAAACACAGTCATTGTTTTATACAAAACTCCAAATGCTAATCGGTATACTGCACCTTAGGAAGTGGTGAGTCATTTTATTTTGAAGTTATGGCTACAGCAGAGGGAGCAGCTGTTTGGACTTTGCAAACTGAGGAGAATAATTAATTGATTTGTTTAAAATACTTATGCATGTCATGGCACGTACCTCAAGGCAGCATACTATTTTTAAAATATATTTATATACCAAAACAAAATAGTAAAAAGTAGTGAAAAAGAATAGCAAAGCATATAAGATGATACAACAATTCTGTATATTTTGGGACAGTTCTCAGCATTCTGAGGGAAACGCTGGTTGGGAGTTCTAAAAATCTTATAGTCTTAGCACATCTGGGTGGTTCTAGTCCAGGGACATTGGTATATACAACACAGGTCCGTACTCCAAAGTGTGCTTGAACACAGAGAGAAAAACCAGTGGTGAAATCCAAATTTTTTTACCACCGGTTCTGTGGGCATGGCTTGGTGGGTGTGGTGTGGCTTGGTGGGCGTGGCAGGGGAAGGATACTGCAAAATCTCCATTCCCTCCCCACTCCTGGGGGAAGGATATTGCAAAATCCCCATTCCCACCCCACTCTGGGGCCAGCCAGAGATGGCATTTGCCGGTTCTCCAAACTACTCAAAATTTCCGTTACCGGTTCTTCAGAACCTGTCAGAACCTGCTGGACTTCACCCCTGAGAAAAACCACAAAATTGAGTGCCAAAATGAAGTGGGAGGCCAGCCTTTTCACCCCAGTAATGGAGGTGGAGGGCTGGGATGAATATACCTGCCCCGGGATTGTCTTCAAAATGCACAGCAGAGAAATCTGCAGTTCAGATTCTGAATGGGGAACAAACAAGGCAGGGTGGGTGATTATTATTATTTCCTTCTGGCTGCAGGAGTATCACAACATTGAAGGTGTTGGGTAAGAAAGCATCTCCATCATAGTATGGAGGCGCTGAAAAGGGAGACATAGCAGCTGGGCAGGTGGGGCCACTGGAAAAACAGGCTTCTGATTCCTTGGTCAGTGTTGAGACAGCATCCCAGAGCAAACCACTAAACAGGAAGCAAATTAACTGGCTTTGTTGCCTCATTCCGCCGCTCCCTCAGTATCCCGAAATGTTGCATTGAATTAAATTTAATGGAAGATCATCTAGAGGTAGTTAAGTTCTACCCCGTTCTGCCTTTTCTGCACTGAGTCTTGTTTTGGGGTAAAAGACAGAGGCTGTCCAAGGTGTTAGCTAACTATTGAATGGGGGTTATGAAAATTGCCTACTTGGCCTGGGGAGATTTCTCAATGAGCAAGAAAAGCCTGTGTGCTGGGCTGGGTGGGGGGTTGGGGGTTGGTTCCCTGGGCGTGGGTTTGCTTTGAGGCTTTGCTACCCCTCTGCACCATAACCGACTGTAGGAACAAGTTCTTTGTATTTTGTTTTTCCAGGTTTTTTTTTTTGCAAAACGATGCAGCTATTTTGTCCTAAAGTTTATAATCCCATTCCTAGCGGCTCAGCAGTTCCAAAAGATAGGAAAAAATCCCAAATTCCGATATCCCCTAACAATTACGTTGTAGAGCTGACTTAGCATCAATCAACAGGGACACTCTTAATTAAGCCTGGACCAATAAGTGTTCTACATGAATTACAAAAAAAGAAAAAAGAAAAAAAAGAAAGGTTTTAGGATCCGGTCCTTCGTTCAGATCAATTTCACTTTCTCAGAAACTTCAAAACTGTTGAATGTATAGTTTTAATTTACACAAAAGGAATTCTCTGAAAATGTATCTTGAGTCATTTTATTTATTTTATTTATTTAGTTTGTCAAACATGTATGAGATAACAGATAAACATGGAGATGAACACAGGAAATGGGTACAAATAAAAGGGGACAGTAGGACAGGGACGGTAGGCACACTGGTGCGCTTATGCATGCCCCTTACAGACCTCTTAGGAATAGGTTGAGGTCCACGGTAGACAGTTTAAGGTTAAAGTTATGGGGGTTTGAGGATGTATCTGTAAATATTAGCTCTTTGTGCCGAGGAATGCAACATACCAGTACTTTCCCTTCCTGTCCTTATATAAGACTAAGATCCTTTTTGTGGGTTACCTGCATATGTCCTAGCTAATGGGTGCTGCTTTCATCCTAATCAATCAGGATTCTGTTTCCAGCAGGTGGGAGCATGATGGCAACCTTGGCCCTGCAGCTAGTTGGGCTGGCACTGTCTATCCTGGGCTGGCTGGGCTCTATTTTGGCTTGTGCCCTGCCCATGTGGAAGGTGACGGCTTTCATCGGATCCAACATCATTGTGGCACAGGTCTTCTGGGAGGGACTGTGGATGAACTGTGTTTATGAAAGCACTGGTCAGATGCAATGCAAGGTCTACGACTCCCTACTTGATCTACCAGCAGACCTACAAACCACCCGCGCCTTGGTGGTGGTCTCCATCGCCATGTCTTTCCTGGCTCTCCTGATTGCCATCTCTGGAGCAAGGTGCACCCGCTTCGTAGAAGACCCAAATACCAAAGCCAAAGTTTTGAGGATAGCTGGTGTGGTGTTCATCCTAGCTGGAATGGCGCTCCTCTTTCCTGTCTCTTGGTCAGCAAGGAACATTGTCAGCAACTTCTATAACCCACTCATTCCTGAGGCCCTGAAGAGAGAGCTGGGTATTTCACTTTACATAGGTTGGGCAGCTAGTGCTTTCCTGATCCTTGGTGGAGGCACGTTCTGTTGCTTCGTTCCTCCAAAGGAGGACAATAAATCCTATCCAATGAGATATTGGACAGGAAGACACCCTTCTGCCAGTAGCTATGCCCGCAAAGACTATGTATGACCCTTCTTTTATTTTATTTTATTTTATTTTATTTATTTAGTTTGTCAAGCCTGTGTGAGAAAACAAGTATAAGTATGAACATAACATATAAACATATAAGTATAAACAGGTATAAGTATATACATAAGAAATGAGTATGAATAAATGGGAGCAGCAGGACAGGGACGGTAGGCACGTTGGTGCGCTTATGCATGCTCCAGTGGTGGGTTTCAATTTTTTTTACTACCAGTTCTGTGGGTGTGGCTTGGTGGGCATGGCTTGGTGGGCATGGCAGGGGAAGGATACTGTAAAATCTCCATTTCCTCCTGATCAGCTAGGACTTGGGAGGCAGAGAATAGATGGGGGCGGGGCCAGTCAGAATTTCAGTTCTCTGAACTACTCAAAATTTCCGCTACTGGTTCTCCAGAACCAGTCAGAACCTGCTGAAACCCACCTCTGGCACGCCTCCTTACAGACCTCTTAGGAATGGGGTGAGGTCAACAGTAGACAGTCTAAGGTTAAAGTTTTGGGGGTTTGGGGATGAAACCACAGAGTCAGGTAGTGCATTCCAGGCATTGACCACTCTGTTGCTGAAGTCGAATTTTCTGCAACTGAGTTTGGAGCGGCTTACTTTGAGTTTGTATCTATTGTTTGCCCGTGTATTAATTGTTTGCCCGTGTATTTCTTGGAAAAGCTACCCCTCCCCCGCCTTACTCCAAGCCTTGAGAAAGAAGGCTTGGCTGGCAAAAAGGACTCCTCAGATGCAATGATGTCACAGAACATAAATCTTGCCTTGCCAATTGGCTGTCAGGCCTGTCGACGCGAAGCACACATTGACATGACATGTGACACCAAGAGAAAGTTCACTCCAGCCGTTTGTAACATTTTGATTTGACAAAGAAGTATTATTTCGTGATACGTGAGAGTTTCCTCAATTGAGTGCTGTGGTTTGATGATATGCCAAGAATTGTATCAGAAAGATGAGTGAACTCAGGCTTTGGCAACGTTTTTTTTTTGGGTCCAGGAGACATAAATTTAAGAGCATGATGTAAGGCTTGGCTAGTTCCAAAATTGTTTGGGGCTGAGTGGCATACAAATTGGATAGATATAGATAGATGATGAGAGAGATACTGTGTAGATCAAGGCTGCCACGGTGGATAGGTGAGTATTCATCAGGTGCCTTTTTCTTAACACCTCAACATTTCTTCTTGCATTCTTGTCTGTGTATGTGGACTCATTTCCACAGAAAACACTGGGGAACAGACATCCACTCTTTTTGTTTTCCAAGAATATTATAGCATCTTCCTAAGACTGAGAAATATTCTGGAGAAGGGGAGAGAAAGAGCCAGAAGTTAGTGTCTGATTTTGCAGCTCCCAGTGTAGGATGTATTGGGTGGGATGAGGACTCTGCTTGATACCAAGCAATTCCTTGGCATCAGGTTGCCTAACTCTGGCCTGGACATTTTTTAAGTAAGAGTTGCCTTGAGCCCTTCAGGCTCTACATACAAATTAGGACCTTTCCCCACTGCTGAAGCTACCAATCTTTGAGTCAGCAGAAACCTACACCAGATAACATTTGCTGGACTAATGTGGATCCACCTCCTGCATCCAAAGCCAATTGGTGCCGTGTAGAGGTAGCCCTTGACTTACGACCACAATTGAGCCCAAAATTTCAATTGCTAAATGAGATGTTTGTTAAGTGAGTTTGGCCCCGTTTTACGACCTTTCTTGCCACATTCACTTGTAGAGTGAATAACTGCAGTTGATAAGTTAGTATTTATTTATTTATTTGTTTGTTTAAATTTCTATACCGCCCTTCTCCAAATAGGACTCAGGGCGGTGCACAGCCTAAGTAAAAACAAAGCATACAAAATTAAAAAACAGTATTAAAATAATTAAATATTCTGGCCGTAAATTAAAACAACCCAATTTAAAATCAATTTAAAATTTAGCTCAAGCCAGCCCAGCTAGTTGAAATAAATAAGTTTTCAGGGCCCGACGAAAAATCCGGAGGTCTGTTATTATACAGTATATCGGTTGTTAAGCGAATCTGGCCTCCCCATTGATTTTGCTTGTCAGAATGTCGCAAAAGGTGATCACATGATCTTGGGACACAGCGACGGTCATAAGTATGAACCAGTTGCCAAGCATCTGAATTTTGATCATATGATCATGGGGATGTTGGAAAGGGTGTAACTGTGAAAAATAATCATAAGTCATTTTTTTCCCAGTGCTGTTGTAACTTGGAATACTCACTAAATGAACTGTTGTACCTGTAGTAGGGTCCTGATTGATCATGAGCACAGAACATTAAGGAATGGGATTGGTTCTTTCCTTTGACTTTCCTCCCTTCTCCTCCCACTAAACATCTCCAACCCATGGAATAAAATCCACCAGCCATTCTCCTTAATGTAAGATGGGGAAAAGATGTGAGGAGGGAGGGAGTTTTGATGGATGACAAAATTGGGGGATTTAGTTCTCAGTCAAAACATGTTTCTAGTTTTGCACGAATGTTTTGAATGATTGAGGCAGAGGTGCGTTTCAGCAGGTTCTGACCAGTTCTGGAGAACCGGTAGCAGAAATTTTGAGTAGTTTGGAGAACCGGTAGTAACAATTCTGACTGGCCCTGCCCCCATCTATTCTCTACCTCCCAAGTCCCAGCTGATCGGGAGGAAATGGGGATTTTGCAGTAACCTTCCCCTGGAGTGGGGTGGGAATGGAGATTTTAGAGTATCCTTCCCCTGCCACGTCCACCAAGCCACACCCACAGAACCGGTAGTAAAAAATTTTGAAACCCACCACTGGAATGAGGTCAAAATAAACCTAATAGCTGAAAGGAGGCCGTGTGCATTTTGAAGTTGACAGGGGCAGACAGACAGCTATTCTGCTTGGTCACACAGTTCCCCCTCATCTCTTTGTTCAGTTGTTAGTTGTTAGTTCAGTTGTTAGTTGGGCTTTCTTTGAAGAAGCACTCAGCCAGCTCCTAACCCCATTTAACAGATGTGATGTCAGAGAGACGATGGAAATAGAGCTAGCCAATTTTTAGAACTGCCAACCATCTCCCAATAGCTTTCTGACCCAGTTAATTCATGGCCCTACTCACATAGGAGGACACACTCTGGACTTGGTTTTTGTCTCTGGTCAGTGGTTGAATGGCCTAGATACCATAGAACCCTTGTCATGGTCAGACCATTCTCTCCTTAGGCTTGACTTTCTGACCGTTACACCCCATCGCAGGGAGGCGGACCTGACTAGGTGGTTCCGCCCCAGGCGCCTGATGGATCCTGATAGGTTCCAAATGGAACTTGGGCCATTTCCTGAGAGTCTGGGTCACGACTCGACAGAAGACCTGGTGGCCGCCTGGGATAGGGCGGCCGCTGGTACTTTAGATCGGGTTGTGCCTTTGCGGCCTCTGACCCGGCGCCGAACCTGCCCAGCTCCTTGGTTCTCCAAGGAGCTGAGGGAGATGAAGCGCCAGAAAAGACACCTAGAGAGTAGTTGGAGGGCTAGTCGTTCCGAATCCGACCAAATACTAGTGAGGTCTTATATCAAGACCTATTTAGTGGCGATAAAAGCGGCAAAGTGTAACTACTTTTCTGCTCTTATCGCGTTGGCAGATAACCGCCCAGCTGCCCTGTTTAGGGTGACCCGCTCCCTTCTCCACCTGGGAGCATGGAAAGACCCCTTGCAAGGGCGAGCTGAGGATTTTGCGTGTTATCTGCACGATAAAATCGCTCAAATTCGGGAAGGCTTGGACTCTGACTGGGTGGGTTCAGGTGAGATGTCCGATGTGGGTCTTGAGAATGTTATCTGGGATGTTTGACCCTGTGACTCCCGAGGACATGGACAGGATGCTGGAGAGGTTGAACGCAACCACATGTTTATTGGACCCGTGTCCCTCCTGGCTGGTGCTGGCTACCCGGGAGGTTACACGAGGCTGGCTCCAGAGGATTATAAATGCTTCTTTGAATGAGGGTTTCCTGCCTCCCGCCTTGAAAGGGGCGGTGGTGAGGCCCCTCCTCAAGAAGCCCTCTCTGACCCGGCTGTTTTGGCAAACTACTGTCCAGTCTCCAACCTTCGCTTTGTGGCGAAGATTGTTGAGAGTGTGGTTGTGTGACAGCTCCCGCAGTACCTGGATGAAACTGTTTATCTAGATCCATTCCAGTCCGGCTTCAGGCCTGGGTACAGCATGGAAACGGCATTGGTCGCATTGGTTGATGATCTCTGGAGGGCTCGGGACAGGGGTTGCTCCTCTGTTCTGGTCCTATTAGACCTTTCAGCGGCTTTTGATACCATCGACCATGGTATCATGCTGCGCCGGCTGGGGGGGTTGGAAGTGGGAGGCACCATGTTACGGTGGTTCTCCTCCTATCGCTCCGACCAGTCGCAGTCCGTGTTGGCAGGGGGGCAGAGGTCGACCTCAAGGCACCTTGTTTGTGGGGTGCCGCAAGGGTCAGTCCTCTCGCCTCTCCTGTTCAACATTTATGTGAAGCTGCTGGGTGAGATCATCCGTGGTTTTGGGGTGCAGTGCCATCTGTACGCTGATGACACTCAGCTGTACATCTCCACCCCAGACCACCCCAATGATGCCCTTGAAGTGATGTCCCAGTGCCAGGAGGCCGTGCGGGTCTGGATGGGGAGGAACAGGCTCCGACTCAACCCCTCCAAGACCGAGTGGTGTGGTTGCTGGCGTCCCGATATAGCCAGCTGGTGCCATTGCTGGCTATTGGGGGCAAGTCATTGGCCCCCACGGAGAGGGCTCGTAACTTGGGCATCCTCCTGGATGCACAGCTATCTTTAGAAGAGCATATGACGGCCATGGCCTGGGGGGCTTTTTATCAGGTTTGCCTGATA